TCCACCTATCCGTTGTTTATTAGAAATTGTCTGTGGTCTATGTGTTATTGGGATTTTACTGATCGGAGTTCATTAGAATTTGCAACACCAGGAGCTTTAACAATCTGAATTCTCTTGTCATTTTAGTAAATTGCTGATTTTACTTGCTGAGGTTTGTTAAAGTTTGCTAGCCCATGAGCTTTAATACTTATAAGTCATGTTCCAATGAACCTTAAATTAGCCCTGAAGTCTGCTATTCCTTTTTGTAAATTGAGGATTTTAGATTTAGCTTATAGAAATGCTATGTTTTCTCCTGAGAGACCATGCAACTGTGGGACATTTGATTAAAGGCCAAGTGTGGTGCTAATGATTTCTGATTGAACATTAGCAGTCAAGAATCAGAATCCCCTTTTTAAAGAACGTTAAATGTTACATAATGTAAATATGCTAGCCAAATACTCAATTTACTCGGTGTCCTAAACACAGATTTGCCGATGTATCATTTTGTTTCCTGTATCGTAAAAACTGATCCAATCAACGGTCAAGGAAGTGCTTATGGGCAGTTTTTGTAGAGCCTTTAGTAGCTCGTTATGTTAACCTTGAGACTTAGAAAAAGGTGTCCCCAACTTCTTTCATCTTAAGAAGTAAACAAGTGATAAAATTGAAGATGATTGCAACATAATAATGCATCAGGAGCTAAAGGTATTAAGGTAGACTATTTTGTGCTCTTATGATGATGGAATCAAAGGAACTATTCCTAGCAATATGAGCCATGCTCTTGATTCAGCTGATGGGGTTTGAACTCAATACTTTTTATAGATCTTAGTGCTCTCATTGGCTCTTTGATATGCTAAATACAGCTTCGAATTGGTTGTAACATTTTATTACTTCTTATTACTAAGCATAAGAAGAGCAGGAAGAAATCAGAACTTACAACTTTACTTCAACATCCAATGTCTGCAAGTTTTGACAATAGGAGACCTTAAGGTCTTGGGGTTTAGAAAAATAAACCCCTACCACAAATGAAGACTTCAAAAGTAAATGAAATAAAACTTTGCCAAGAATGACGAAGTGGATCTCATTGCCATCATAACTTCAATTAAAAAAATAGAAAAATGCTACTGCAATGATCGAGGATATATCTCTTTTGAGTTCCAAATAATTGTTTAAACATGAGATTTGATTATGGGCCTCAATGCATTTAGGTATCCAGGCACTGGGGAATACAACAAGTTCTATGAGGAGGGCATTTACAAATGTGCGGGATGTGGTACTCCACTGTACAAGTCGACCACTAAGTTTAACTCTGGCTGCGGATGGCCTGCTTTTTACGAGGGTCTCCCTGGGGCCATTAACCGAACAGTAAAGTTCCTTCATCCATACTATTTTCCCTTCATTTTCACATGCATTTATTGTTTAGTATCTAGAATTCTTGGAGGAATAATGTTTTTTATTTTTTTCAAAATAATTAGTATTTTTTTTTTTGTTTTTGGTGCTACATATTCTTTTTGTATAGGCTGATCCGGATGGAAGGAGGGTTGAAATCACATGTGCAGCTTGTGGGGGCCACCTCGGCCATGTGTTTAAAGGCGAAGGTTTTCCTACGCCCACAGACGAGCGTCATTGTGTCAATAGTGTTNAACTGGGTTTGTGTACTTTTCTTGAGCCTCTTATATGTATTGCTGAGTTAAACATGCTTCTTTAGGCCGTTTCCTTTTGTTGGGTTCATTGTGTTTGGATGGTGAATCCAATTTCTTTTGCTGATTCTCTCAATATGATGTGTGAATGACTTCGAAAAATTAAATTACCGATTCTTCAATGTGGAAAATTTAAATTGTCATGCCATAAGTTACCAATCGTACAAAGTAACGCTATAAAATTAGTAACAATTACACCCTTCTTCAACTTGTACCAGTGGAGTAACATGAAGAAGATAAAGCTCATGAGATCTAGAGAGAGAGATGGGCGGCATTATTCACGTGTGAATAGGATTGGGATTCTCTTCTCATTAATAGGATTGAGATTCTCATGATTCACGTGTGAATAGGATTGGGATTCTCTTCTCATTAATAGGATTGAGATTCTCTTCTCATGAGCTTAATTCACGTGTGAATAGGATTGGGATTCTCTTCTCATTAATAGGATTGAGATTCTCATGAGCTTAATGATGTATATATAGAGCTACAGTAGAAGATCTGTAGGTAAATCGAGACGAAATAGATTTTGACCTACAGAACTAACCGGAAGTCCGATTGAGACGTACAGTATACCCAGACGACCGTCTCGACGAGAGCTTTCCATCGCCGCCGCGTCGCCGGAATCCGACGCCGCACGCGCCCTCACGCGCCGCCGGAAGGTGTCTGGCAGCAAAATTTCGTTTTGATCTGTTTGCATCCGTTTGATCCAGTTTTGATCTGATCTTGTTCGTGCAACCCAAGACGCGTGTTGCGGTCAATCAATTGCGGCCAACCGTTCGTGGTCAATCAGATCTACATAAATTTTAAGCCGTAAGTTTTCTACGTCAAACCTTTAGATCCGCTGCGCATAGGTTTACGTTTGCTATTGAATTCGTGATTTGTACATAACGAGATCCTCACAGAAATAATTAACTCCACATGGCCTATGTGGCACTATAACATTGGTTTCACATGACCTACGTGGCACTATAACATTAGTGTTTGGCTTCATAAAGGAGCCAACCATTGGCACCATAGCATTTCTGTATGCTTTATATAAAATATTAATATTTCTAACTTTATATTCTAGTGAGGTCTGATAATTGACATTTAATTTTTTATCTCATAAATAGGAACTACATTTAGTTAAATCATTAATTGAAATTTATCATACTTTTTTTATAAAATTTTATTTTTGAAAGTTTACAGAAATTTTTTATTTATATATTTTCTTATAGTTAAAAGTTACTAAATTTTATACCTTTTTGTTTAGAAAATGTGTAGTAGTTGGTTCTTGTATTATCATCCCACATACTATAGTAGAATCTCCAAATCTAAATATACTTCATGAGATTACAAATGATACAATATATAACTATTTTTTAATATACTTTTAAGAGCAATGTCAAAATTTTTCTTTTGCTCATTTAAAGTTAGTATAACATGTATAAACATCAAAACGGAGGAACGTTTAAAAAGTGAGTAATATAATAATGATTTATAATACGAATGACATTATTAATCTTAACCGCGACATGGATTGCACTGAATCCATTATGAATCTTTGTGAAACACTTCAAGTGATCAATTTATGTTGTTAAATGTCAAGTGACATAGAAAAAGAGTTTAAAACAATAATTTATAATCAGAGAAACAAAATATAAAAATAAATAATAAAATATTTAATATGGTTAATTGTATGATTTCTATTTTTTTATGTGTATTACTTTATTTAGAATTTATTAGCTTGGTACCGAAAGATGGGTTAACTATCAATTTTGGGCTTAAACGAATAAATTCTATATTTCGGGACAAAAGATAGTCAACTCTCAATTTTAAGCCTGGAAGATTAAATTTATGAGACTCCAAATATGTAGTTAACAAAGTAAATGAAAACATCTCAATATATATAAAAATTAAAAAACTGGTGAAAAGAAATCATCTTAATATATATGAAAATTAAAAAATGGATGAAAAGCACCGTTAATTTTTTGTATGTCACATCAATTATTAAAATATGAAGTTTATAAATAAAAAACATTATAAATAAAAAAAAAGATGAAAAAAAACAATGTAAAATTTCTTCTCCAGCCATTTACAAAAAGTTTTTTTTTTTTAAAAAAAAAAAAGAAAAAGAAAAACGAGATCAGCTAGAGCAATAATTTAATGAGGTTTTTCAATATTTGTTTTAGTTTATATTCATATGGTGGTATTTTTAATTAACTTCTTGATGGTCATGTCATCACCTATTAAGAAAAGTATGACGATGTTAATATTTAGAATTTTAAATTGATAATTTCATATCTTTCGAGTCACAAATTGATTATTTTTATGTATCAAATCTCGACTTGAAAGTTGATTTATCTTTCGATTCCTTTACTGATAGAAATTAATTTTTTAAATTTATAGTTCGAAATTTCAAGTTATAAATCGATAAAATTTGTGTTTGGACCTAAATTGATAATTGATATCACACGTGATATAAATTAGGGTAAATAATTTTTTCAATCAGTACTATATGTACTTTTGGGATTTTTTTATTTGATCTTTCATTTAATTAGAATCAGAGAAAATAAAAAATACATTCGACCAAAAATCACAATCCAAGCTGCACATTCTATCCGATAGCCATGTTTTTAATCGAATGATATGTATTTTATATTTTGAGTATAGGTGCACCCAAATCCCATTTTCAATTAATAAAAACCTTTATAAACTTAGAGCTGCGGTGATCAGAAGGCCGAGCTCAGTTACGCGGGCTTGTAACCCTTGTGGGGGCTTTAAGATGATTGGATGGTTGGACTTGTCCAGTTGCTGGGCCTGCGATTGCTTATGCGGGTCTGCCCGTTCCAAGTGGGGAGTTGGGTCATGCGGTCCAAGCGAAAGTTTGGGCTACGTGATCCTTAGTGCGGAGGGCACAGCGTCAGGCTGGTTTCACAGAGCAGCGAACACCTCCCGCTCTCTACAGTGGAAGGATAACAGGCCGCCGCTTTCCAGGCCCATTAAAAGCTTCATGGGCTTGTCCCAATTGAACAATCATTTTTTAGTTTACTAAATTTAGTCGGGGCTAATTGAATTCATTTTTTCCTGGGCGGTTTTCTAAGAAAACATGAAAATTCAATCTTTTATACAAAATTGTTGCCAAGCACCACAACGCAGATAATTCGTCAATGGAAAATATTTATTTATTAAATAACCCTTTTAAATTTCTAATTGAAAGAACACTTTTTTTCTTTTCTGATCGTATATGAGCATGTTTGGATACAAAATTTTTCAAAAAAATCCAAACATTTTTAACTCAACCCCACTATCATCAATATTATCAATATAATTAAATAATATGAATCAATCATTCTTACACACCACCTTACCTTAATTCACTATTCATCCACTCACATAATTTTAACTAACCATCACTTCAAATTTTCTCTCACCTACTTTACATCAAAATCAACTTTAATCATTTTATTTTAAATATTATTTAATATACCCACTAACAACTAATTATACCAACTTTTTCAAAATTAACCAAACCAAACAAAAAAATCCAAACAAAACCAAAAATTTTTATATCCAATCATCTTGTTTGGCACTCGCTTTGTTTGTTGTTTCTTCAAAATGCACTCTGACAAAATATAAAGGAATGAGATGAAAAATATAATTTTATATTTTAATGTCCACGGAAATCATGTGCCGAAATACTGATTATAAATAAGTTGTGCTATCATCAAGAAATTATACAACGGTAAGGTTTGTGTTGATTATAGTCGCAATATAGATCATGTGGAAATGAAAAGGATTAAAATTACTTGGATTTGTACGTGTAATTTGAACTAAAACGGAATCTTATTAATTCATCTCCTTATTTTACAACTTAATAAATGCTAGAGTGAACTTCACACGGGCACTCCTCAGAACCAGAAGAAAAGACCCTTTTGTTTTGACAAGAGATGGCTGAAACAACCAGGAATCAAAGAGGAAATCCAAAATGCTTGGAATCAACCAATTACTGGCTCAGCCATGTTTGCCCTCACAGAAAAAATAAAGGCCACCCGAGTGGCACTCCTCAAATGGAGCAGAACTCTGAAGACAAATTCAGCCAAAACCATTGACAAACTGAATGCTGAAATGGCTAGCCTCAGAGAGCAAGGAAGTACAAGGAACTGGGAAAGATGGGCTCACCTCAAAAAACAACTTGATGAAGCATACAGATCTGAAGAACTCTACTGGAAACAAAAATCCCGCGCACTATGGCTTAAGGAGGGTGAAAAAAATACCAAATTTTTCCACGCATTCACCATCCAAAGAAGGAAGCAAAATGCCATTGCCAGGCTGATAAAAGCAGATCACTCTGTCTGTGAAACCAAAGAAAAGATCACTGATTGCCTAACAGAATTCTACCAGAACCTGCTGTCCTCAGAGGGCTCACATGATGTTGGGCATATTCTCAATTATATCCCCAGATCCATTACAGCTGACCAGAACCAAAATCTGTTACACCAAGTGACTGAGGATGAAATAAAGACTGCACTCTTCAGCATGCATCCTGACAAAGCCCCTGGATGGGATGGTATGACTCCTGCCTTTTTCCAATCCTATTGGCATATTGTTAAAACTGATCTGTGCAAAGCTGTAACCTCTTTTTTCACTTCTGGTCACTTACTGAAAAATTGGAACCTTACTCTTCTTACTCTTATCCCCAAATGTCAAACTCCAATAACTGTGGGGGACTATAGACCCATAAGCTTGTGTGAAGTTATCTATAAAGTGATTTCTAAAATTCTTGCTGATAGGCTCAAACCATGCCTTGCCCTATGCATTAGCAATACTCAATCTGCTTTTATTCCTGATAGAAGTCTCCTAGATAATGTGATAATTGCACATGAGGTATTCCATTTCCTCAATAGGCACAGAACAGGCCCTTCTAAATACATGGCTCTAAAGCTTGATATGTCAAAAGCTTTTGACAGAATTGAATGGGATAGCATCAGGAAAATTATGCAAAAAATGGGCTTTCATTTGACTTTTATAAACTGGGTTATGGCGTGTGTCCAATCTGCTACATTTTCATTCAAACTGAATGGCTCTCCTACTGGTTATGTTGTTCCCACAAGAGGAATAAGGCAAGGGGACCCCATCTCTCCATACCTTTTCCTCATAGTCTCTGAATGTTTGTCTTGCCTGATCCAACATGAAATGTCTACTGGTGCTTACAAAGGCTTAAAAATCTCAAGAAAGGGCCCAACTCTCAGTCATTTATTCTTTGCTGATGATTCACTTCTGTTTTGCCAAGCATCCATAAGCTCTGCTAACCTCATTATGGCTATGTTGGAGAAATATAAATGCTTTACAGGTCAACAGGTAAACATGGTGAAATCATCTGTGTTTTTCAGCAAAAACACCCCAGATGCTGTGAAAAATGCCATATGCCACACTCTCCATGGTATCAACCCGCAATATTCTACCAGATATTTGGGGCTGCCACTTGGTATTGGAAGATCAAAAGGGGAAACCTTCAAATATGTTGTTGATACAACCAAGCAGAGGTTGCTGAGTTGGAAAAATAGATTTTTATCAGGAGCTGGTAAGGAAATTCTTATAAAATCTGTGCTCAATGCCCTTCCAGTATTCACCATGTCATGCTTTATGTTGCCTATGGGAACCTGTAAAGAACTATCCCAACTTTTTGCAAAATTCTGGTGGTGCACTAAAAAAGAATCCAACTCAGGTATCCATTGGAAAGCCTGGAATCTATTAACTCTCCCTAAGGCTGCTGGTGGATTAAACTTCCATGATCTCCATATTTTCAATCAAGCACTTATCTTGAAGCAGATTTGGAGACTCATAAACAAACCAGGTCTTTTGATGTCAAGAGTTCTCAGAAATAGATACTTCCCAAGTGGAGATTTTTTTGGTGCTAAGCCTACTCAGAATGCCTCATGGTTATGGAGAACCTGGCTCACTATGCAACAAACCTTCCTCAAAGGCTATCTGATAAAAATTAGCAATGGCAGGAAAACAAAAATATGGGAACACCCATGGGTCCCAGACCTTCCCAGCAAACTTTTGTCTAAAAAACCTTCATCTCCAAACCTCACATGGGTTTCTGAACTGATTGCTGATGATGGCATCTCATGGAACAGGGAGCTAATCAGAAGTGTTTTCACTCAACAGGAGTGTAATGCTATACTTAAAATCAAACCTCTGTGCAGATATACTCCTGACAAAGCTACATGGTCTTTTAATGCCAAGAAGGAATTTACAGTATCCAGCACTTATGCCAAGCTAATCTCAGAAAAACTCCTCAAACTTGATATACCTGAAAGCAGTGCTAATGCTGCTACACTGCGGAGTATGAGAATCAAAAGCTGGAAAATGCCAATCAAAGGGAAAGTCAAATTTTTCATATGGAGGTGTTATAATGGAGTGCTTCCTACTGCAACCAATCTGGCAAGAAGGGGAATCCACATTGATACCACCTGCTCCATTTGTGGGGAAGACCCCGAGACAGCCGAACATATTCTCTTCCATTGCTCCAGAGCCAAAAGAGTTTGGGAAATCTCACCTGTTACCTGGGAGGGACCTGCACAACCTGAAGATAATTTCAAATACTGGTGGGCCTTCCTCTGTTCACTCCCAGGTAATAAGTCCACTAAGGATCGTGTCCAACTCTCAACATACATCTTATGGCAACTCTGGAAAACAAGAAACCTCTGGGTCTTTCAAAAGACCAAAACACCAGAACACATCATTGTGGAGATTGCAGTTAATGAGTGGAGGGAATTTGCATCCCTATCAGCATAATTTTTTCTTTGATTGTGTATTATCATTGTGTTCCCTAGCTAGGCAATTGCAGTGGCTAGGATAGTTTCTTAATAGTTTACTGTCTTATCTAAGTAGGGTGACACAACTAGTTTGACATGTAGCAGGTTTCCGATTATGCCACGGCTGTTACTGTTTTCAAACTAGTTAGTTATTTTGATTGTTTAGGAAGCTGTATGCTCTCCTCCAACCTTTTATGGCTGTGGTCCATTGGGATCCCGTGTATGTTGTAACAAACGTTTTATCTATTAATGAGATTATTTACTATCGTTTCGAAAAAAAAAAAAGAATATGCTTACTTAAATTGCCTTAATAAAAGCAACCTTNGTTGGTTATTATTTATGGGTAGTTGGTTATTATTTTGTTTGAAATATGTATATGTTATGTATATATATTTTTTATAGCTAGTATGTTTTGTGTACAGTCGGGGTCCAATATGGATATTAAAATTGTTTTAATTATGAAGTAGACGTGAGTAATAATATAAGTCATAATTGTTTGTATTTAACTGAAAGAATTGTAAGTAAAAATTTGTTTTGATTAAGAAGTACGTGGATACTATATAAGTCGTAATTGTTTGTATTTAACTGGAGGAATATGAAGGGAATCCTATATACATATCTCGGAAAAACTGTTAGTATACGTGAGGAAAAAAATTCCAAAATTGTTGAATTGACAAATCAGAAAAGATTCTAGAACGCCAAGTAATATAAAATATCGATTATGTTGAATTATTAAATACAATTTTGAAAATAGTCAAAAATCTCAAAAAAAAAGGGGGAGAAAGAGCGTATTCGATAATCAAGTAAAAATTTGTGCGCTATAAATCTTTAAAATTGGTCAAATGGTAAGTGTCACCTAATTGAAACTTAAAATAAGTGTAATTTATAATATTACCATAATTTGTTTTTGATTAATGGAGAAAGACTAGTGCATGATTGTTTAAGATAATTTGTATGTTAGAACATTTGAAAGGGCAGTTTCGACCAAGTTGAACTTTATATTAAGTATGAAATAAACAATCATGGCGGCCACAACCAAAATTACAATCGCGACCACCATTGGAACCGAAACCAGACAATGAAGAATCAACCATGAATTCAATCATGAATGAGTGACTGAATGAATCAGGTTTTTTTTAGTCACACCGCCGCAGGCACAATTGAATTGATAATATAGACTCTTGCTGAGTTGAGTGGTATATAGCAATTACATTTTGCTCTTGATTCAATCACAGTTAACAACAATTAAATTTTGCTCTTAATTCAATTACAATTGTATTGAGTGAACACTTGATTTAATCACAGTGAACACAACACTTGAGTTGCGTGGTAAATAAATCACAATGGTATATAACAATTAAAATTTGCTCTTGGGGCGTGAACAATTAAATAAACCGTAGACTTTGGCTGGACGTGAACAGTAGTACATTTGAAAATATGATCCGCACAAGAACAACAACAAGAAATCTCCTGAAAAGTTTAGTTAAATACCAACAAAATAGTAGTATTTTTTATTTTTATTCCATTTTAATGCAGCAAATAAAAAAGTACTCTAAATAAAATAAAATCCAACAATTAGATCTCCTACAAACAACTGGATTATAAAAAGCCAAAAAAAAGGTAAATAATATAAAAATACATAAATTATTCACCATAGCCACAAGTGGCTAACAACACGAAAGAGGTTAAAAGGGCCAAAAAAAGCAAAAGATAAAACCAAAAACAAAAAATTAAGCCGAAAAAAACAAAAAACACCAAGAAGAAAGGCCGATAACGGCATCCACACGGTGGGTGTTGGGTGGCGTCTTACGGTCAAAGCAATTATTTTTACGCACACTGCATTTATTATAGTGCAGATATTTTCATGGGTGACGAAAAACCAGTGGATCCAAATCCAAATCCAAACCCAAACCCAAAACCGGATCCGAACCCGGTTCAGGAATCTCCATCTGCAGCTGCGCCTTTGGAGCCAGAGAAAGAGGCCGCCATGGCACGAGCTCCTCCATCGTTAGGCACAAATCCTTCATGGTTCACTCCTAAAAGGTACCTTTTTTGTTTGGCACGCTTTTATTGTTTCTTAATTTTTTGTATTTTTTCTGTTGTTATTGGTGCGCAATTTGGTCAAACTAATGACGGCGATGATGGTTAATATGCGTCATGCGTGGTTTTTCTTGGTCAATTCTGGAAGATATGCTGGAGTGGGAAGGGTTGAGTCTTGCGAGTTTTATTTTGGTGGGTTTGTAAAAAGGAAAAAAAGTAGGGCTTTCTTGTTGCAGCCTGAAGAAGGGATTTTTTCTATAGATAATACTATGGATAATTCAGATGACTGCGAATCTCTTGGATGGTTGGAAGGACAGGAAAATTGGAGGTTTTTATTTTTTATTTTACTGAGCTGAGGGTTGACTTGAATGCTACATTGGGTTGTGTTGATTTGGAGAAAAAGGAGCTGTTTCTGGGTTAAATTGTTTCATTTGTGGCATTATGTCTTGCAATTGAATTTTATTTCTCCATTGGTTGTTTTGTTTGCGGTTATCGTCAGGTTGCTTGGGATCTTCTGTGTAATCAACTTAATAAATTACATAGATCGAGGAACTATAGCAAGTAACGGTGTAAATGGGAGACGCAGAACATGCTCCGCTAATAGCACTTGCTCATCTGGTAGTGGAATTCAGTAAGTTCAATACATTTACATTTAATACTTCATTTAATGCGACTTGCAGCATTATTCTCCTTTTATAATTTCATAACTATTTCACATTTTAAGCCCCAACATGGTGTATGTGTGTGTGTGGGTGATTTGAAAAGGAAAAAGGAAAGAAAAAAGGTGCAAATTTTCAAGAACGTGAGTCGATATGAATATATTTAGGGTGACATGTGTTGGTACTGAATGTGAAATGAATTACATTCTTGTTTGGTTAAGAAAGGAAGAGATATGGGAGAACAAAGTGGGGTGATGTTAATATTTCTATTATAATATTTTCAGGGGTGATTTTAACCTGAGTAACTTTGAGGATGGAGTTATATCATCTGCTTTCATGGTCGGGCTCCTAGTGGCATCTCCTATATTTGCATCTTCGGCCAAGAGGTGAGAGATGTTTCACGTTGTGACTCTTGTAAACTTGTGATGTAGTTGTTAGCTGTCTTTTGTTGTGTGGAATATGCTAATAACTGCAGATAAATTGTGGAATATAAATGTCGAAAATGATGTTTATTTCATTAAACTGAAAGCTGAATGCTTTAAGGAAAAAGAAAATCAAGTAGTTGTTCAAGAGTGACACGTAAGGTCAAATAAACATGTAATGGATGGTTTTTTTTAATGCACAACGATGCAAACATGATGATATGACTAGGCAGAAAATTAGAATAACCATAACTTGCGCAATCAGAAATATTTAATGTTAAGTGCTTTGTTGTTGGCTCTTACGTATGAATAACCATTTGGGAGCCGGTCGTTTAAGCATATCCTAGTTTCAAATTATGGTTTTAACTGTTCGTATCTTTCTTGTATTACCAAGGACGTAAAGTGCTGATAAATTAGGTCAATATAATGTATTAAAATGCCCCTTTTACAAAATTGGAGCTTTACAATGCAAAGTGGAAAGGGAATTGAAGTCAGAAATAAATTTTTTATTCTGCTTTACTTGGTATTGTAAAGCTTATTTTCCAAATAGTCCGACTTATTATTGCTTTTGATGAATTTTGCAGTGTCAATCCTTTTAGACTGATTGGAGTTGGTTTGACGGTGTGGACCGTTGCAGTTGCATTTTGTGGATTTTCATTTAATTTTTGGTCCATTGCAATCGCCCGCATGTGAGTAAGAGTATCTAAATTAAACAAAATATATATATATAGTGTGTGTGTGTGTGTGTGTTTTTATGCTATTTATTCTTTGAAAATTTCAGGCTAGTGGGTGTAGGGGAGGCTTCTTTTATTAGTCTGGCTGCTCCATTCATTGATGACAATGCCCCCGTCACTCAGGTCTGATTTCTTTCCTAAAGTCTCATGCTTTAGCTATTTGATTAGTGTACCATCCACACTATTTTTTTTTTTTCCTCAAAACAATGTTCTTTTTGCTACTACGTGAAACTGTTGATCTGTTTGCCATGAACCATAAAGGCCTGCATATTGTCTCTCCAAAGAAAAAATAAGGTGTAGCAAATATTTTTAACCAAGAAAGTACTAAGTAGTACCTTCAGTATCATTTAAGCAGTGTTGGTTGTACCAAGTTCCAAAAATGTCCTCTCAAGCTCTCATGGAATTTGGAGTTTGAATAGGGCACTTGATATCTTCCCTTATTGTATTCAATCACTTGGCAATATCTAGTTTTTTGTCCCCTTTATTTAAAATTTTGCATACAAGTGTGACATTTTTCCTTTATAACAGAGAACAGCATGGCTGGGAGCATTCTACATGTGTATACCGACTGGTATTGCTGTGGGATATGTTTATGGTGGTGTGGTACGTTTTCAATCTTGAAAATTGAATACTTTTTACCTATGAATTTAATTATATCTCTATTGTCTTGAAAATCCTTCAAATTTTATTTTTCGGGCTTGTATTATATTATAGATGGGTAAGTTTGGTTGGCGTTGGGCATTCTGGGTGGAGGCACTTTTGATGCTCCCTTTTGCGGTTTTAGGCTTTGTGATGAAACCATTGCAGTTGAAAGGTCAGCAATTGGTATAGTCAAATGGATATCATTTATTTTATCAATCAAACATTTGCTAATATGCCTATCTTATCCAGGTTTTGGCCCCGTTGGATCTAGAAAAGCATTGGCAACGGTGGATGATGGCTCAGAAGATCAAGGTGCCGAATGATTTTACATTAATCTAAACCATTATGAAGTACAATTAATTTGTTCCAATCTTTTGCGCCAAGTGATCTTCCAAATATTATCATAATTCTACCAATATACCGGCATTGATACCTGCCTTTGCCATTTTATGTGCTTTTCATTAAATTTCCATTTCCAAGTGTAAGTCCTACAAAATTTCAACCTTTTAATTTTTGTTTGGAGATTCTTCGCAAGCTCTTTAGTTTTTTGTTCTATCTTTCTTTGGTCTGTTTTGTAGAAACTATATTTTGTTATCTAATATCTAGTGTTCAAACTCTTAAAGGTGGTGAAATATCCAGAGCAGAAGTTGTTGCAGATGGAAGTTCAAAGCCTTTGAGGTAAGTAATTAATTACCTTTGAGTTAATTCATTCTGAATAGTCCAAAAAAGTTCAGTTTTCAGTTATATAAAGCACTTTCTGGCTAATACGTTTTCTTTCATAAGTACATGTCAGAAGAACCCGGAATTTTTTAAGAACTTGTAAAATCACATATATTTCAGGTCAGGAGCTTTGACAGTATTCGGCAAAGATATGAAAGCTCTCTTAGTCGATAGGATTTATTTGGTGAATGTTTTTGGTAAAATACTCTTCCTCATCAGTTATCTGCGAGTGTGTGTTTGCTGTTATATTTCATCTTTCGAATTTTGTTTTATTTTATGTTTCTATATTTTGTTTGGTTTTTGCAGGTTACATTGCATATAATTTCGTCATAGGTGCCTATTCCTATTGGGGACCTAAGGCGGGTTACAACATATATCACATGGTAAGCTCTTTATGCCACTTAAAAATGGTATTTTTATTAATGGAAGAAATATTTAACACTTCACACAATGAATTTCTTCAATCTTCATTTTAATAATTTTTTATTCTGTAAAAAAAAAATATTAACATAAGCATTCCTTGTGTACAGAGCAATGCTGATTATATGTTTGGAGGTGTCACAGCAGCCTGTGGAATATTAGGCTCACTAGCCGGTGGTTTTATTCTCGACCGAATGACTTCAACAATATCTAATGCTTTCAAGGTTGACCCTTTTTTCAGCATTTGTTGCATTATAATTTCATGATTATTCAAAACCAATTACATAATTTCACCCTTTTCATTTTTGGGTTCTTGACTAAGATTGCTAAAAGAATTGACTGCTGTTTTCAACAAGTTATTTAATTTTATGCAATTGGTTTTCATCTGCTAATTGCTTTTGCTAATTCTGATCTACAGCTTCTATCGTTGGCCACATTTTCTGGAGCTGTATTTTGCTTTGCTGCATTTTGCTTTAAGAGCCTATACGCGTTTTTGGCTCTTTTTGCAATAGGAGAGCTGCTCGTATTTGCTACCCAGGTAATTTTTCTTTTTCCAAAGACATCGAATGTGTACAGATTCAGGACTGTAATAATGTAACTGCAGAAATGACTTTTTATTTATTTATTTATTTATAATTTTCTTAAAAGCTCGAATTGTGCCATAAATGCGTGTTAGAGAAATATTCAAAATATTATAAATTCGACTGTTAATTGAATTACATCTTGAAATTGCAGGCCCCGGTCAATTTTGTTTGCCTGCACTGTGTTAAGCCGAGTCTCAGACCATTATCAATGGCGATATCAACTGTTTCGATTCACATATTTGGTGATGTGCCCTCATCTCCACTTGTTGGGCTTCTCCAGGTTTGTTGCTTTAATTACTCATCAAATAATTAATAATTCAGAAGAAATCTGTAGTATATTTTGTTTCATGTGGAGCTAAATGCTTGTCGTAAAGCTTAATAAAATCTCTAATATGCTGCTTAGATTCCTAGCTAATTACATTCAATTGTTTTTGAGAAATTTTCTGTAAAAATATGGCATCTGCCCATGGAGCTACCAAAAGGTCACCAACAAAAGCTTGTTTGAACTCAAATGAGGGGTTAAGGGTCGTTTTTCCATTATTTGAGCTGAGCTCGAATAAACATTAGGCTCGTTTGTTAATAAAACGAACAGGAGCTTGTTCGCTAACTTATCAACCATTCGTTAACATCAATTGAATACTTAATTTGTTTGTGATCTATACTTTATATGTATAATAATACTTTTAATAGAAAAACTACATTAGAATTATTGGAATGCGAGATTATGTCCAACCATAAAGTTCACAATTTTTGCAGGATCGAATAAACAATTGGAGGGCCACCGCTTTAATTTTAACTTCGATTCTATTTGTGGCGGCCGCAATATGGTTTATTGGTAAAATCTTCTGTTTTTACTATCTTAATTCTATATTGAAAGTTAGTGTCCAAACAGTAGGTAGATTATAACTGCCTTGCTGTACTGGAAAAATAATTTATATGTACATCCAAGATATCTTACAAAACTCCCCCAAGAGGGTAATCAAAATTTTGTTAAAAGAACTCAGTTTCTTCTGTAGTTAGACTAACGTCAAGGGTAGTTTAGTAATTTGATCTCATTTATTTTTGCAGGGGTTTTTCTTCATAGTGTGGATAGATATAACGAGGATAGCGAGCATCAAGTTACTTTGGTCGACAAATCCAATGCGACTCCATTGCTGGCCGAGAAGACTACAGAAACTGCGTAGTTTTCCTTGCAAATCATTGGAATCGGGCTTTCTTCTAACACGCATTTTATGTAAATTCCTTGGCTCGATTTTTCGTCAATCTGTAAATAGTGGTTGTTCTTTTATTTAATCAGGGGAAAAAACATGTTCTTCCTGCTGATATTTTCCATAAGAGTTTTGTTGACTGATTTGAATTGAAGTTTGTACTTTGTAGTAGAGTGAACTGCTCTACTTACCTTTTTCTTGAAGTCTTTGATGGTTTATTTATATAAGTTTTTTTCTTGCTTTTTTATTGCACTATGGGTTTCTTGTATGATTCTATGGGCTCTTTTTAACCAACCTACTTTTTTTAGGTGGATAGAATTATTCAACAAAATGTGCACTGAATTATAATATTTATATGAAAAATATAAATCAAATATTTAACTGCTTATCAAAACTATAATTACGTCATAATACAAATATATGCAAATATTTATTTTAAGGTTGAGTTGATTTATCCAATGTATGCTTTATAGGTATGTGCTTGAGACTCATTAAATTATGGTAAATATACATTGTAGTTATACATGTAAGTATTATGGTTGATCAAAAATTCTATGGAGCTATTGAATGGTTTTCTTATGGAGCAATCTACCACTTAATATATTGACACCTGTCTAAATTGTCTTTATTGTTGGACACGTGCCAAAATACTATTGGTGAATAAGTGTAGGTGGTTCCATAAGTCGAGCCATCCGATAGCTCCATAGCATGCTTCGATAGCTCCATAGCAAAACTGTTGGGTTGATATGATGAATAGAGTAAGGATTTTTAAGCATGCTTGGATACAAAACATCTCAAAAAAAATCCCAACATTTTTAATTCAATCACTTTTTTTAACTACACATTAACTCAACCCCACTATCATTAATTTTATTAAATAATTAAATAATATCAATCAATCATTTTGACACACCACATCAACCTTAGTTCACTATTCATCCACTCACATAGTTTTAACTAACCATCACTTCAAATCTTTTCTCTCCTATTTTACATCAAATCAACTTTAAATATATTATTTTAAATATTATTTTAATATACTCACTACCAACTAACCATACCAACTTTTTCAAAATTAACCAAACCAAACAAAAAAATTCAAATAAAAAAAAAATATTTATATCCAAGCATCTTATTATAAGTACAAAAAATAATAATAATATATCATTTTTTTTACTCTACCCAAATCATATTTTNATAATAATAATAATAATAATAATATATCTTCAAGATAGAACCTTTTAAATTAGTAATTTTAAGATTTTAAACTGCTAGAAAGTAGAAACAGAGGAGTATTCATATTCACATATTTATAATTATCAATCATTATTGTATTAATTTTTATTACATCACAATTAATCATTATTTTATATCACACCATCTTGTCTTAAAAATAATTACTAATTTTCTCTACATTGTTTCATCAATGAAATAATTTCTGTCAAATGAAATCATATCTAATCTCATCCATACTATTTTATTAAAATCTCAAAAAATAAACAGCGTGCTTCCAAAACCAGAAACTATAAACTACAGACCGCCCACAGTTTTTTGTCCTCTTTCTTTCAATTCAACCCTTAATTTCGCCTTCACCAAATCATGCATAAAAACCAGTTTCATATCATTTACACATCACTTCTGAAAAATTCATCTCAAAACTTTCTTACTTGTTTTCTTTTTACCTCTCAAAATGGCTCCAACAGCAGCCATGCTCATGTTAACCCGCCGTACAAGCCCGATGCCGCGTGCAACTCACTCTCTGTCGCCAAAGCCCAATTTCGTTTTCTTGATGGGTTCTTCACTAGCAAAGTTGGTCTCTCATGGGATTCCAGATATTGGGCCTGACGATGAAAAGCCCACGGATGATCTATCCTCTTCGCCCACGAGGAGTCTAGCAATGCCAGTGGTTAAATGATCAATGAAGTTCTTACAACACCACGGACAATTTTGTTTTTTTGTTTTTTCCTTTTCTTTAGTGGTGCTCTTTTTTGTGAAGATGTATATTCGACCGTGTGTAAATTTTAAGGTACCCTTTAGTAAATTTTAAAGACACTTTTTTCTTTTTCTAAAACTAGACTCT